GAATTGAGCTCCATTTCTTACATACATGTAACAGAGAAGAAACAATGCCTGGACTATAGTTCACCAGTTGGGCACGAAGCAGCATTCAGGTAGAAGACACCTTAGCTGACAAATGAAGTGAGTGATGCCTTCCACATACCAAGTTGGCAGGATGATATCATTAATGCGAGTTCACTTACATCGCAAACATGGAAGTGGTCTTACTATATCAGTATCATTAACACGAATTATCGTAAATTGAGAGATCGTAAATAGACGTTTACCTGTACGACGATGCACTCTCTATACGTTTGAACAATTGAAACACTGTACGTACCATAAAATAAACACAAACACTTAAAAATACCTGTTTTTCACAACAATTTTCATCACTTGCACAGATAGCGAAGTAATTTATTGTATCCACACAGGGGAATTTATTGCACAGTTTACACAAATGATGGCTAAAGGTTTGAACAAGAAAAATATAGTAAAATAGACAAATAAACATTTTAGAAATACAGGTACTTATTTATTTAAACACTTATATAAACACTTCACAACACTTTGCATCACTTTTCCAGACTGTTGAGACATGTTTATGGTATGGACAGAGGAGCAGTACTGTGCAGTTTACAACTGATGGTTGCAAGTTTGAATACATGAAATATAAAAATAAACACTTTACAGGTGACTATTACTGCACAATGGAGGGCACGCGTGTGTGAGATAGATAGTGAGATACAGTTTTTTACATGCCTAGCACAGAGTATGTTCTAGTTTGTCTATTGAGAAAAACTAATGCCTTCATGGCACCGCTCTATGGTCAGTTGTCACATAGCTAATTGTAGATGAATTACCATGGGAGAAGAGACCTACAGGTATGATGCACCAAAATCTCAAGCATCAATTAGAATTACTGAATTTTGGGTGAATTTTTCTCTTAACTGAAGCAAATACGAGTCAGTGACAATTGGACGAGACTAACTCATATTTGCGTCATGGTGAGCGAGTGTGTTTAAAGGAGCTCACACTGCCACAACAGTCTCTGGCAGGTTATTCCAATAGTCGACAATTCTTAATATGACAGCATTTTCTGGCAAGATAGTAAATCAGTTCATAACTCTTACTCCCAAAAAGTTATCTTTGTCAATTTTCTGTACTGTACAGTATTTGTGGCTTCTTTAACTTGAGGCTGTGACCTCTAGCATAAGAAAACCATTAAATGTTTTTAACGTTTCATTTCTTAAAATAAGTACCAAGTATTTTTAATATGTTTCATCAAATATGTTTTGTAAGGTTTAATATCAAACAAAGATAATTAATCAGCTGATGAAAACCTAAAGTTTCCTTTTCCCTCAACAAATGGCACTGGAAACAGCATCTATGCAGAGCACACATGATTCATGACACCCCAAGTTCAATTGCTCCATCACTCGCCTCGAGTCTGAACAACTGCAGTCCAAGAAGCAGCTGTTCAGACTCAAAGTGAGCTATAATTTGAAGCACGCACGACCAGAGTGGACAAAGCGCCAGAAAAAATATGGAGACCTCTGAAACTTTCCTCTCTGCAATCTGATGCCCGCCTCCCTCACCAGCCCCGCAGATAGTGATGCGTGGGTAGTTTTCTTAACAGCAAAATCGACCAAATTGACACTTTCAGAGGTAGTTTCCCCTACTCCTTTTGTGGGATAAATCTTGATTTTGAACATAATGGCTTTTTGTCCACTCTGGTCATAGTCAACTCATTTTTTATAGTGTTGTGAAATAATAGAATTAGTGTTAAAGTGAGGAAGAGTGGTGGCCGAAAAAGAAAATTTTTGTGTACAAAGGTATTTTTTGGAGCAGCAGTTCTGTATCCTATACACTATATACTGTATTATTGAAATACAGAAAATTCTCGACCCCACATAAATTATATCATGGATCTACTGTATCTATTAGAGGAAGCAGCTTATACAAGCAGAATCTAATGATTGAGTGTCTGTCTAGCTCACAGTGCATTGTGGGTGTAACAGCAGCCTGCAGGATGTTTAAATGGAGGTAGAAATCATGAAAACATATACCTACTGTACTTATGTCAACAGTTCACAATATATTGTAATATGAAGATTAAATAAAGTTTTATCCTCTCTAAATACTCATCAAGTGTCCTGTGAGCAGAAGCCAAAATATACAAATCCCATTCACTCAACCATGCACAGTCAGTCACGCCAGTAAACACCCAGGAAGCCAAAATGTTCCTCAGTGTTTTATGGAAAACAAAATGCAACAATACAGTATTACCCCGCCTAACGCGGTTTCACTTAACGCGTTTTATCATATACGCGGTGCCTCGCCAGAGCTGAACTTTCACTTAACACGGATTTTTTCCACATATACGCGGTGAGTGTCCGGCTCCAGACGCTATTTTTAGATTTGCCCCACCCTGCCTGACTGCCTGTTTTAGCTCATAAAATTCATACAAATTACCCGGCCAGAATATAATTTACATTGCTGGAATTCTTATAATTTGGTGATCATTTTGAATATAAACATCATATTTTTGCATTAGACATACAAATTTTAGATAAAAATTTTTCTCAAATTAACTATGTTATCTTTTGTGCAAAATATATGACATTTATATTCAAAATATTCCTGGTCTTACAAGGAATCCAGCAATGTCAATTATATTATCCTAACTTTAGTTTGAGGTATTATTTATTAAAATTTAGTGGTTATCCCACACATCTCCTTGGGACGGTTGGTGGGGGTGGGGGGGAGGGAGGGACCGACCGACCATCTGTTACCCAGTGAAGAATTATTTTTTTTTTTATTAACTGAAGATATTTGTTTTAGCTCATAAAATTCATACAAATTATCCGGTCTGAATATAATTTACATTGCTGGAATTCTTATAATTTGATGATCATTTTGAATATAAACATCATATTTTTGCATTAGACATACAAATTTTAGATAAAAATTTTTCTCAAATTAACTATGTTATCTTTTGTGCAAAATATATGACATTTATATTCAAAATATTCCTGGTCTTACAAGGAATCCAGCAATGTCAATTATATTATCCTAACTTTAATCTGAGGTATTATTTAATACTAAATGTTAAAAACCCTGGAAGGGAGGATTGGTGGGGGGTGGGGGGGAGGGTTGGGACTGACCGCGCGGTTGGAAGAGGGGGGGAGGCAAGGTGGGGTACTTTGATTGACAGATAGTGTTGTAAAGATTATTTTTTTTTTTATTAACTGAAGATATTTGTTTTAGCTCATAAAATTCATACAAATTACCCGGTCAGAATATAATTTACATTGCTGGAATTCTTATAATTTGGTGATCATTTTGAATATAAACATCATATATTTTTCATTAAACATACAAATTTTAGATAAAAATTTTTCTCTAGGTAACTATGTTATCTTTTGTGCAAAATATATGACATTTATATTCAAAATATTCCTGGTCTTACAAGGAATCCAGCAATGTCAATTGTATTATCCTAACTTTAGTTTGAGGTATTATTTATTAAAATTTAGTGGTTTTCCCCCAAAAATTTCTCTGAGAGGGAAGAGCCAGTGAGTGTAGTGTGAGAGGGGGAGGGAGTTGAGTCCATTATTTGAATGGACATTAACTTGGCGACTGTATTTCTCTTAAGTATTAATTGTGTGCATGTACCATCATAAAAGTAAGATGTTATTTTTACTACAACATAGGTATGTGCCTTCAAAAAGTGGAGTTTGGGGGTCGGGCCGGTTTCTATTGGAATTAATCCCATATGTTCTGTTGTTCACTTAACGCGGATTTCACTTAACGCGGGACCCTCTGGGTTCAATTGACCGCGTTAAGTGGGGTACAACTGTATTATTCTATCTTCTTATTCTTTATTCATACATGCTAATTAACTTGGAGTTGAATAGTTGAAAAATAAACAGGTAGAATGAAGAAGTGGAGGGTGAAATCAGCTGGCAGGAATGTGCAGCTATGAGCCTCTTGGAGGCACAGGTACCTTGGCGACTCCTGCCAAGATGACCTTAATAAGCACTTTTTATGTTTTCTTTTGCACTACTGCATTCATCACCATCACTTTTCATTTGTTTTGAGACATTTCAATGGCAGCATACCTGGTTAGAAACTGCAATGCTTTCTGAGTGACAAAAGAGTGCTGTGGACAGCACGTGACACTGTACTGGCCAGTGCCTTGAAAATAAACTCCACCAAGATGCCTAGGGTCACTGGCTAGCCAGGCTGGGTTAGTCTGCCATTGACTTTGGCACTTGTTTTGGGTTTACACCCACATTTCAGTCATACACCTAGGTAGGAATTTAGGTCCCACTTCTTTAATGATACTGTACTGCACTGGGCCATTCACCAGGATGTAACCCACAACAGCCCGGTTCTTTCTCACTGCTAGGTGAACAGAGGCAGCAGGTGTAAGGAGACTTGCCTGGTTTTTCCCCTTACCTCAGAGTACAGTATAGAATAGAAAATGTGTCTACAAATGCACTAGCTCAGCTGGCTGCTTAACTAAAGACAAAACATGATTAACCTCCCTCCATGAATAATAATGTGAGCTGATTCACTGATAACTTTGCTCATTAAAGCAAAAAGAAATTTGTTAATTGAATTAAAATACCCTAAAACACTAAGCTAATTAACAACTTGGCTGAATAAAATCATCTGGCATCAGCCAAATAAAATATTAAAAGTGACATCCAGTAGAGAAGGGGGTTAAACCGAATTCTTGTTCATCAGTTACTCATTTAGTGGGACTGATTCTACCATACTAAAGGACAAATGTTAAACCTGGTATCATCATAATGGGCCAATGGGTGTGATGAGGAGGTGGGGATGATCCATGCATTCATGTGGGTTAATACAGCACCCTGGGCTAAATAACTGGGACTTCCCTAAGGAAAATTAACTTCCCTATTAGCAGCTTTTATTACCATAGGCTGCCAGCCAAAAGTTACAGGCCAGAAAACCTCTGCTCTTTTGAAGATGTTTACAGGAATAACTCTCACCTTAAGATTTTGTGCACAATATTCTGAACACTCCTTCCCTCCATGACCATCGAAAACTGCACAACACAAAATATTGTTGGGAAGTTCCACTATAACATATCTGTAAAAAGAAAATACTTGTACACTAAAATACAGAAGCCAACATACATATCTAGGACTGGAGTATATAATCCCACTTTATGGCCTGGAGAATGAAAGGAGACTCCCGTGAAATCATCATCATCAATGTTTTAAGGCCATTTTCCACAGTTGTTTGTGTCAGCAGTGATTACCTAATAGCAGCAATTTGCAGCTGCTTTTGTCAGGTTCTAATCTCTCAGGTCTTTTACCACAACCTGCCCCCATGTCACTCTTAGCCTCCCCTCCACATTCATTTTTGCATCTTTTGACCCAGTTGGTCTCCTCCATGATCTCCACATGCCAGAACTATCTCGACCTACTTTTGCGCAAAACCTCATCAATACTCTCAATACTCAAGACCCCTTATTTTGTCCCTGCCAAAGGGATCAACCAAGTACAGACATAACTTGATTATTGCTGCTTTGTTATAAAGCTCTCTCTCCTGTAAGATTATTTTGTCCAGATAAGAAGTCCCATGTGAGAACTAGCAACAAACACCAGTGTCTTTTTTTTTCTCTAAGGTGCACACTCAGACAATGAAAACAGCACATATTAATCAGCATCTGCCTCCACAGTTTTGAACAATCTCCTGCAGGTGATAGTGTTGACAATGTGAACAGGTAGTTAAGGAAAAGCATTGGGTGGTAAGCACTGAGTTAATATCGGTCAGAACTTGGATTTGGCTGCATCTGTAATTAGGATAATTCTGAAGAAAAAGAACAAGGTGAAGGCTTTTGGGAATTCCATTATATCATTTGTTTCAATGAAGATTCTAGAGCTGGTTAGTCATGAGGATGGAAGGCTAGGAGCATTTTCACCCTCCTGCAGGAAGGTGAAGGACCAACATTAGAGAACTGCCAGGCCAGTAGAAGTTACTTTGAGAATTTTAAGCACAACAGTAACTTTCAGTTTATGTATATTGTATCTGGTGAGGCAGCTGATGCTGATGAGCAGATAACACACAAGTTTCCTGACACCTTGAAAGTTATCACTAACCATGGCAAATACCTTTCCCAGCTTGTAAATCGGCCTCTTTTGGAAGCATAAGCTATCAAGCACATTAATCTTCCAGAGTGAAGGGCATGTATCAGGGTTTAAAACTGCCAAAGATCATATGAAGCTCCAATTACATGGTAATGCTTTGGGTGATTTCAAGCTCAAGCCCATGGTCACTTACCACCTTTAAAGACCTAAGGAACATCTACCTAGCCTCAGAGAAGTTGAAGGCCTAGGATAGAGCTGTGTGCTGACCTCGCTAGAGTAAAAGTCACAGTCGATTTAGCTCCGGGGAATTAACTGACAGTGCAATGGCTAGTGTTAGTTGTGAGCAGCTCTGTGCCTTTTTGAAGGCTGAGTTAGCGAAAGTCAAAGGAGGGTAGTGAGGAGAACAACAACCAAACTGGTGGTGAAAAAAGACTACACGGAAATGACAACAGCTATGTGTACTAACTTTTTTAATTTTGGTAGACGAATTAGACGGTAACATAGTCAAGGACGAGGCTGACAAGGAAGGTACGAAAACCTAAATTGTTGGGGATTCCCAGATTAGGTACTTACAGGTAGATAGAGCTTTTTGTGTCAAAAACAGAAATAGGATGAGTGTGTTTGCCAGGAGCTGGGGCGGGGGATATAGTTGAGAGGATGGACAATATCATGTATGGTAATGGGAACAAACTCATTATCTGCCCCAGTGCAGGAGGCAATGATATTGGCCAGTGTAGGAGTGAGGAGTTCCTTGATAAGTTCAAGGCAGCTATTAACCAGATTAGGATGAAGGGAGGGATCCCTATCATATGTTGTGTCCTGCTTAAAAGGAGAGTTGGCAAAGAATGGTTGTCAAGGGCAGTTGGTGTCAATGGCCGTCTTGACAGATATTGCAAGTCAATATCAGTCCCATTCATTGACAACTCGGACAACTTCTATGGAAAAAAGGAACTTCATGCTAGGGTTCGGGAATATTTATCTAGAGATGGGGTGGCAACCCTGGCTGGCTCTCTCAAGAGGGCAATTCAAAAGATGGGGGTCAAGGAGACTGCAGAGGGTGCGGGAAAACAAAGCGAGAGGTTACAGAGAAATAGTGTTAGGAATGATGACAAAGCTAAATTAGGTAAGCTAAAACCTAAATGCAACAGTGAGAGCACTCAACTCATGACTAACTTAAATGTCTACTATGCAAACAGTAGAAGTGTGAAAAATAAACTTGGCGTTGGTATGTACCGAAAAAATCGATATATGTAATAGCATTCAGCGAAACATGGATAAACTCAGATTCACGCGAGTTACTTGTCGAATACCAAATCAAGGGTTACAAATTATTTCATACACATAGGCAGATTAGGAAAGAAGGTTGGGTACCAATCAATGTCAAGGATAATTTGAAGTGTAAAATCAATAAGGAAATAAAAACTGAACTGAACACAGAAACAATTAGGGTAGAATTAACCAATGGTAGGGAAAAATTAATCATCGGAGTAATAATGTACAAACCTCCTTATCTCAATAGGGTTAATGAACAACTTGTTTGAGTTGTAATACACAGCGCATCCAAACATAGCAGAATCAGTATAGTAGGCGCCTTTAACTTTAGTCAAATAGATTGGACTGATTGGGTAATGCAGGATCAGAGGATTTTCTTGTAACAGTTCAGGACTGTTTCCTAAGAAAACTTATAACCAAACCCACCCGGGGTAATAATATACTAGATTTAGTTCTGTCAAACAGAGAAAACCTCATTAGTAATGTTGAGGTAGGGAACGAACTTGCTAACAGCGACCACAAAGAAGTGAGATTCTAAGTAGAACTTAATATCAGTTACAAGAAAAATTCTATTAAAGTCCCAGATTTCAGACGGGCAAACTTTGATAGGTTGAAAAGGCAGCTCAAAGGAGTAGTATTACGCTTGGGGGTGAATTACATGAACCTCGCGTGAGGTAATAAATAACGTGATCTCACACAATATATCCACAGAGGGTGACCTCACGTTGCCTGGTGACCTGACAACGATAACCTTACAAAAATTGACCGCTGAGGATGACCTGACCACGAGATTTGAGGTACATGAGTTCCATAACAATTTAAATAACGAGTTACTTAATGCACAAAGGCAGAATATACCATATAGAAAACTCAAATTAAATAACAATGACCCCAAATGGATGAATAATTATTGGACAAAGGAAGGCTATAGGCAGGAGAATAAATCGTGGTGAAGTTTACCTCCATGATTATTATAAAGTATTGGCCAATACGGTTAAAACAGAGATAAGAAAAAAAGAGGAATAATGAAATGAAGGTAGCAAGGAAGGCAAAGTCAATCCCAAAAGGATTTTTCCAAACTAAAACTCGAGACAAGATTGGACCATTACAGTCAGATACCGGTGAACTAACTGACAATGACGGAGAAATGAGCAATAATCTGAATTGATATTTTTCATCAGTTTTCACAACCAAAAATTTAAGCAGGATACCCTAGGCACCAACTATGTACAGAGAGAGCAAAAAAAAAATTAAGCAAGATAGTAATGACCAGTAACGATGTTAGTAAACAAATATATAAACTAAAACCTACAAGTCACCAAGTCCTGACGAGATATTTGCCAGAGTATTAAAGGAATGTAAGGAAGAACTTAGTATGCCCTTAGCAAACTTGTTTAACATGTCATTAAAAACAGGTATAGTACCAGAATCCTGGAGGATAGTGAATGTGATACTGATTTTTAAGAAGGGAGATATATCACGGTATTCTCAAACTACTATCCAATTGGTTTAACATCAATTGTAGGCAAATTACGGGAAGCAATGCTGTACTTTCAAACTCAATTCGAAATCACCTGGAGAAGAAGCACAAATTGATCAATGATTCCCAGCATGGTTTCACAAGTAGGCATTCATGTCTGACAAATCTATTATCATTCTTTCCAAATGTTTTTTAATCAGAGGATGAGAGACACGATTATGATGTGTTTTACCTCAACCTTATTAAAGGCTTCGACAGCGTCCTACACAAAGACTAATGCGTTAAGTGGAGGCTCATGGAATTGGAGATGTTCTACACTGGATTAGGGCGTGGATACAGGACAAGAAACAGAGTCAGCATTAATGGCACTTAATCCGATTGTGTTAACATTACTAGTGGAGTGCCCCAAGGCACACTTACTTGGACCATTACTATTTATTATATACATAAACGACATAGATATAGGCATAGACAGCAATACGTACAGTAAACCCTCGATAACTCGGAATTTCATATAACTCAACACAAATACGGTCTCGGAATGTATTATAGTACATATACAGTATTGTATAACTTGGGAAATGCCGAGATATATAAAATTATCTGGGAACATCTCGGCATATCTGGCCACCTGCGTCACCGATCATGCCTCTGTGTCATCTACCATGTCTGTGTCACCTACCATGCCTGTGTCACCTACCATGCCTGTGTCACACTACATCCTTGACTGCCGAAGGGTCAAGATGTACCTGGCGCTCCTCTGGGAGCAGCCAGGTCAACTGTTATGTTGGCCCATACCAACTCCCTCCCCTGAACCCCTCCTTCCCACCGGAATATCAACAAATTCTTGCCAGAAGTTACTACAGTATTTCATTTAGGAAAGGAATGGAACCG